CTAGAATCTACATTTAACCAAGCTCGTCATGTAGTCCTTCCAAATTGCATATAAAGGCAGTAACAGGACACTTAAACATTAAGAAAGAAGCATAAAGCCTTAGCCAGTTTGGCTCAGTGGATAGAGAGTTGGCCTGAGGACCAAAGGGTCCTGGGTTTGATTCCAGTCAAGGACAACTACCTCGGTTGCAGACTCCTCCCTGGATTGGGCCCTGGTCAAGGCACATGCAGGAGGCAACCAATCGATGTGTTTCTCTCACATTGAAATTGTCTTTCCCTCTCTCTCTTAAAGAAAAAAAAAAAAAAAATCAATGGAAAAATACCCTCTGGTGAGGATTAAAAAAAGAAAAAAAAAAAGAAAAAAGAGGCATAGGTTCCACTCAACCCCATTATTCTGTGAAGTCTTCCAGAACCAAATCACTTTATAGAATAATCTTTGCTGCCTTTGTTCTCTAGAAAATAATCCCCACCCAGAAAAAAACAGGATAATCTGCAATAGAATAATTTCCTATCTGCAAAGTCCCTTTGCCACATGTTACTGTAATCCAGAATCCAGGGATGAGGTTATGAACATCTTTGGGGGTAGGGGAGTGTCATCCTATCTACTACACCCACCCTCTTGCCTCCCAACATAAAGTCTCAAAACTCATAATCTAAATTAGGTATAATGAGGCTCTAGGTATAATACATTAACTACAATCCCAGGTGTACAATTCCTTAAAAAAAAGTTATCTGCTCCCAACATGCAATGGGGGTCAGGGATAGGGCACCAGTTATAGACATTCTATCTGAACAGGGAAAATATAAGAGAAAACAGATCCATTGGTCCAAAGCAGTTTCAAAATCTGAGCTAACTCTATTCATTCCATTTCCAAACCAGAGAAAAATCCTCAGTGGCATTCAGCTCTCTGTGCCCTTGGTTCCACCCTTCTTCTTCTTCTTCTTCTTCTTCTTCTTTTTTTTTTTAAATGAAAACCAGCACATTTATACTGAGTAGTTTTACCAGCCTGCTTTTTGCTAGTAGCATTGGGTTCACAGTCCTCTTTAATTTCCTACTCTCTTTCAAGCCAAGCTGTTTCTGCTAGTATAAATCCTCAAGAACCCAGAAGGCTTTACATGAATTTCACAAAGGTCCACTCCACTAGTCAGACTCAGATCCACAAACAAACCAGGGTGCACTTTTTAAGACTTTTCCGTGGAAATCTCCTCAGCCAAATATCCATGTTTATTACATTAAGTTGTCTTTTCCACATAACCACAGGACACAGTTCTTAAGCATATTTGCCGCTTTGTAACAAGGATCCTTTTTCCTCCAGTCTCCAATGAATGCATATCCCACTTCCACCCGAGCCCTCATTAACAAAGGCATTACATCCATATTTCTGGCAACAATCTATTCTTCTAAGTCTTTTCTACCATATTCCTCAAAAATTTTCTGGTCCTGCCCAGTTTGGCTTAGTGGATAGATCATCAGCCTGCAGACTGAAGCGTCCCGGGTTCGATTCCATTCAAGGGCACATGCCTGGGTTGCGGGCTTGATCCCCAATGGAGGGCATGCAGGAGGGCATGGCTGCCTCCTGCATGCAGCCAATCAATGATTCTCTCTCATCATTGATGTTTCTATCGAGAAGGAAGGAAGGAAGGGAGAAGGAAGGAGGGAGGGAGGGAGGGAGGGAGGGAGGGAGGGAGGGAGGGAGGAGGGAGGAAGGAAGGAAGGAAGGAAGGAAGGAAGGAAGGAAGGAAGGAAGGAAGGAAGGTTGGTTGATTTCTGGCCTCCAATGCCCCTTCCACATTTTCAGATAACAGTACCCCAACTCCTGGTACCAAAATCTATACTAGTGTGAGAACGCTGCCACAACAAATTACCACAAATGTAGAGGCTTAAAACAACAGAAATTTATTATCTCTCAGTTTCTGCAGGTCAGAAGTTGGATGAACTTGGCTGTTTCCTGTTTAGGGTCTCACAAGGCCAAAATCAAGGTGTATTCCTTGCCGGAAACTCTGGGGAAGAATCTATTTCAAAGCTCATGTAGAGCTGTTAACTTCAGTTCCTTGTGGCTGTACAACTGAGGTTTCCTTTTCCTTGCTGGCTGTCAGCCAGAGCTGGTCTTTGCTACTAGAGGCCACCCACATCCCTTCTCACGGTTTCCCAGTGGCCCCCTCTAGCAACAGCAAATGGGGTCCCTCTCATGATTCAGATCTCCCAATTTTGCTTCTGACCCACCTCTTTTTTTAACTCCCAGCTACAGAAAGTTCTCTGCTTTTAGACTGGGCCTACCCACAAAATCTAGGACAATCTTCCAATTTAACCCCAATTACATCTGCAAAGTCCCCTTTATCATGCTACATATGTAAAGATTCTTCGGATTACAGAATGAACATCTTATTTGGGGAGTGGCCATTCTGCTTACTACAAACTCAAACCCTATGTAAGGCTTTAAACTCAGTTCCTAAAGAAAAATTCTCCTTTCTCCAAAGGAGTATGTAAAGGTGTATGTTCAGTGACAGAGACAACAGTAAAATCAAAGCCTCACCCTGAAGAGGGTGGCTAGATGACAGGAAAGCTTAAAAATACACTGTGGAAAAGAAAGTGACACTTGTTTCATCCCCAATACAAGGCAATTAATGAACCCATTATGCAGAAAATAACACAATGCGCCCCCACCCCCAAATGTGTGCTTCTCTACTGTATTCAGTACAAAAGGACATAACTAGGCATATGTTGCCCCAGGGTGACCTAACTTTGTAATCAGTTAATGAATCAATCTAAGGAAACTTACAATCCTTTTGTTCCTTTTACAAGTCATATACCCTCCTCCAACAGAAATGAAAATTCATCGATTTCAAAGTCACAGGACAAACCTTCCCAGGTAAACTGCAGATGAACTTTAGAGAAAAAAAAATAAAATAAATATATATAATTGATTTCTGAGAGGAAGGGAGAGGGAGAGAGATAGAAACATCAATGATGAGGGAATCATTGATCGGCTGCCGCCTGCACGCCCCACACGGGACTGAGCGCCCAACCCGGGCGTGTGCCCTGACCGGGAATCGAACCGTGACCTCCTGGTCCATTGGTTGCCGCTCAACCACTGAGCTACGCTGGCTGGGCTGCAGGTGAACTTTTTAAAATGACCTGCGGGAGCCCTGACCGGTTTGGCTCAATGGATAGAGCGTCGGCCTGCGGACTCAAGGGTCCCAGATTCGATTCTGGTCAAGGGCATGTACCTTGGTTGCGGGCACATTCCCAGTAGGGAGAGTGCAGGAGGCGGCTGATCGATGTTTCTCTCCCATCTATGTTTCTAACTCTCTATTCCTCTCCTTTCCTCTCTGTAAAAACAAAAATCAATAAAATATATTTAAAAAAATAAAAATAAAATGACCTGCGGGAGGACTAGTATTGGTCCTGATCTTTCATCCCCAGGTCCAACAAGCCCGTTCCGTTAACCCAGAAGACTTACAAGGAAACAAAAACACTGCAGCAAATACAAAGGTAATGTTCTGAAGCCTTACCTACTGTTAAGGTTCCTATTAAGTTTTACTTGGAACCAAATATACCAGCTGGTCCCTTTTAATAACAGCGACAGTAAGAGCTATTTTTTAATAACAGTGACAGGAAAGAGCTATCCAGCACTTACTGGCACTGTGGTAAGCACTTGGCACACACGATCTTATTTACTCTTCACCATAAACTCGCGATCTAGAGAATATCCTCACCCCAATTTACCGATAGAAGAGGGCTGGACGGCGGTAGCACCGTCCGCAGCAGTCACACCGACACGGGCACCGGGCCTTCGGTCCTCGCCACCGGCGGCTCTGCAGCCCCCGGGCTGGGAGGAGGGCTCCCCGCCGCGAAGCAGCACCTTCCCTTTCCAGCTTCCTTTCCCCCTCCGCTCCCCACACACCCTCCTCCCAGAACTCGGCGGCTGCAAGGTAACCGAGTCTTCTCCCATGAGCCCGCCACCTCCTGTCCAGAACGCTTTCCTTCCCGCAACAGCAACGGCCAAGAAGCAACTTCTGACCCTGACTTTGCTTCCCAAAAACAAACTACAGAAGCTCCACCCATCACCTGCCTCGGCTAAAAATGTTCCGACGCCGGGGGAGGGGGAAGGAGGGACGGGGACGAAGGAAAAGTCCTGCTCTTTCAAAAGGTCACACACGGATAGGTATCCTCGCAGCCAGCCTTCCACTCCGCTTCTCTCTCCTCTGCCACCAGGCTCCCAACTACCCGTAACTCCAGCTCCAACCCGGTCCGCCCGCTTCGCGGTCCTCGCCCTCCGCCTTTCTCCCCGGCGGCCGCGCCCGGGGTCCCCCCGCCTTGCAGCCCAGCCTGCAGGTGCGAAGCCCGGCCTCGCCCACAGGGACCCTGCGAAGGCCCCCCCGCTCCCCAGCTGCTCCGCTCCGCCCTTCCCAGGAGGCACCACTCCCCTAGGCACCGGCCCCAGCATCCCCCTGCGGCCCCACCCCGCAAGCTCCCTTCCTCCTGGGGGACCCCCTCCTCCCAAGTTACCCCTAGTCCCCGCCTCAGTGAAGTCCTCTTTCCCCGAATAAGCTGGGCTCCCGAAGGCTAGTTCCCACCTTCACATCAGCCTCTGCCCCCACGTCTCGCCCCCCCCGTCCCCCCGCCCCGGGTTGGGGGGTGGCCCCGGGCCTCCCCGGTGGGTTGCAGGCGCCTCGGCTGGTGTGTGTGTAGAGGGGGGGCAGGGGAAGGCGAAGGGCACTCCGGAGCCCGCTGGAGGCCCCAGGGGCGGCCGCGCCCGGCTGCCCTCTTCTGGGCCAACCTCCCCCGCCCGGCAGCCTCGCCTGGCGGCTCCCACTGTACCTGTGGTGGAAGCGGCAGCGCCGGCGGCCGCGCTCCCCTCTCCTCACACAGACAATATGGCGGCGGCGGAGGAGGAGACACACGGCTCGGCCGCCAGCCGCAGGGACCAGAGCGAGGCTGCTCCCGCCACCGCCGGAAGCGGAAACCCGCTCTGCCAGGAGGCGGGGCGGGACGGCTTCAGGCCCCGCCCCCAGCGGAACCGCGCCGAGTGCCGCCGTGCTGGGATGTCCTATTGTACCCTGGGGTTCCTTTCCGGACGGGGGTGCAAAACGGAAGGGGTTTTCAAGGTAAAGCATGATAAAGGGACTTGCAATGATTAGCGCGTTTGATTCCAGTACCTCTAAGAACTGGCGAGAGAGACAACGCGAGCCTCCCCCTGAGCGCCCAATTGGTTTGACCCAGCCAAGATGGCGGCCGCCGGGTTTCCCGCACTCCGCCCGCTGACGCGGCCCGTCCGTCTGCCAGCCGGCCCGCCTCGCTTGGAAAGAAGCATGCGCGACCTGCGGAGCCGAGGAGCGGGGCATTTTGGAAGTTGAAGTCTCCTGCTCGGGCCCCTCGTCTGGGAGGAAGGTTCCGGCGGTACATTTTTGTCTGCTCCAACTTCGAGTCCGGAACTAGCGAGCGGAAGTTGGACCCGGGATGGTGTGGCACCGGAGCCGAGGAGGGGGTGATGCCGGCCTTCTGGACACGGAGACCTCATCCCGCTTCCCATAGGAGCCCTGTCTGAGCTGCCCATCCGGAGTAGTGCGTTCTCGGGTCGGTCTGCACCCCCACCCCACCCCACCCCTGGTCTTGTCCAGGCCACCTCCCCAAAGCAGCCACAGAGCACTTTCTGCAGTGCCAACCTGGGTTAAAAATCCCCGAGGCGCTCCTTTGTACACCAAAACCAGCAAATCTCTCCTCTTGACGTCCATGTTCCAACATCATTTGGACAACCCATCCAGCCCCCTTTGTACCTCCATTTCTGCCCCCCCCCCCCCCTTCCTGAAATGTATCTGTTTTGCTTCCCTTCCTTCTCACTGGCAGTTCCTTTCGGTTACTGTTACCTCCTGGACTGGCTAACATTCATTAAAGTAATTCAGGGGTCCTTTTCTCCGAGGATCTTCCCTCTCTTGAGCTCCCCAAGACCTAGGCACCATCATTTAGCAGCCCGACGGGTGCCCAGCCTGCCTGCTCCATCATAGACTGTGAGCCCCCAGTGGACAGGGCTGCGTCTCATGACCACCCCCGCCTCCTGCAGGCCCTGCTGAAAGCTGGTGTGTGGAGTGTTACTGAGGAATTTGTGTTCGGCTCGCCTCTGAGGGGGCAGAGGTGTGAGGGCTGGAACAAGGCGATGAGGCCGGGTTATTTTGGTGTTACCAGCTGTTACCCGGAGCTGCCTGCCCGCTCCAGCCCTCCATTGGCAGTTTAGCTTACTGGCACCTCTGCTCCCAGAGAGACAATTTTCGCCCCCGTGGGATGGGATGGCATGGGATGGGATAGGGTGGCATGGGATGGGATAGGGTGGCATGGGATGGGATGGGGTGGGATGGGGGTGGCGGCCGCTGCTGACCTACAGTGATGGCCTCAGGGAGGTGGCCGTGACTTTTCTGTGCCTCATTGTCAGGCAGGTCTGTGGCATTTGATCTCATTGGCGGGGAATCTGCAGTCATGGGTGTCCTCAGGCTGGTCATTCGTCCTCTCTGGGCCTCTGCTTCCCCAACTGTGGACTGAGGAGGTGAGAGAAGATGATCCCAATGTTCCTGTGAAGCCCTCTTTCAGGAAATGACTAGCCTTCCACTTAGCTCTCGGACCACGTCTTTTTGGCTTTCGTGGCTCCCTTTTTCCCACCTTCGTTCACATTTATTCAGCTCTTACTCACTTGCTATGAACCAGACATTGTGTGAGGTGCATGAGCAAGACTGATACCAGTTCCTTATGGAGCACACCTTCTAAAGTGAGAAACAGATTATGCACAGGTAAACAGAAGAATAAAAAAAGTAATTTCAGCCTGGCCCCAATGTGGTTCAGTGGTTGAGTGTCACCTTTCATTTGCAGGTCAGGGCACATGCCGGGGTTGTAGGCTCGATCCCCAGTGGGAGGCGTACAGGAGGCAGCTGATCAATGATTCTCTCTCATCATTGATATTTCTATCTCTCGCTCTCCCTCACTGAAATCAATAAAAATATATTTTTTAAATAGGTAATTTCACAGAGTGTGGGTATTCCCAAGATTTAGCCCTCACACCTTCCTATGATCTCAGCCCCTCCTACAGCATTATTGTTCTTTCTTCCACCCAATTCCAGCCTCCATCCGTGACCTCATTCATAGGACTCACCAGGCACACACATACAGCCGCTTTGTACCAAGTAGGACACAGTTGAGACCCAACCCCTGCCATCTCCCAGGCTAGCTTGATATAGGTCTCTGGTCCCAAGAAGCCCCCAGTCTCCAACATCCACTAGTTATGGAGCCTCCAAAGACGAGCTCAGTTATCTTTCACATTTACTCTTTCTGACGGCCTACATAGCAAGTATCAAGCTAGACTTCCTTCAAACAACAACAGCAACAACCACAGTTAAAATGTTGACAGTGCTTGCCCTATGCCATACACTGAATGTTCATCATCTAATTTAATCCTCACATCAGCCTGAGGAGGTAGAAACTAAAAGTATCTCATTGTACAGATGAGGAAACTGAGGTTCAGCGAGATTACAGGACGTGCCCAAGATCATATGCCAGAGATGGAACTTGGCATTTCAACCTGGGTCACTGCACTGAGAACCTAAATGTATCAGCTTCGTATTGCTGCTTAACAAATCATCCCAAAACAGAGTGGCTTAAGCCAACAATCATTATTTGCTTATTTGTATGGTTTGGCAGTTTGGACATGTCTCAACTAGGATAGCTCTTTTCTGTTGCACATGGTCTTGTCTGGGCTTACTCCTGCCCTTGCCATCAGCAAGGTGACAGGCTGGCTGGTCCTATATGGCCTCATTCAGAGATCTGGCCACTGGGTTTGTGGCTGGAGTGCCTTGGTTCTTCGCGTGGCTTCTTCAGCAAGCTAGCTCAGGCTTCCTTACAGGATGACCTCCAAAAGGAAGAGAACAAAAGCAGCAAGGCCTCTCTTGAGGCCTAGGCTCAGAAGTGCCATAGGATTATTTTTAAAAATCTATTTATTATTTTTTGTTTTGTTTTATTATTGTTACTACTATTTTTAGTCTTCACTCAAGGAGTGAGGATATTTTTTCCATTGATTTTTTTTTTTTTTTCCAGAGAGAGTGGAGGAAGGGGGGAGAGGAGAGAGAGAAACATCGATGTGAGAGAGACACATCAATTGGTTGCCTTCCTACCCCCTCACCCCCTGACTGGGGATGGGGATCAAACCCGTGACCCTTTGGTCCTTGGGCCAACATTCTAACCACTGAGCAACTGGCTAGGGCTAAATTTCTGTTTTTAAGCCACCCAGTCTGCTCTGGCAGCCCAAGTAGATTAACACAGGAGTCCTCGTTGTAGAAATGGTTTTTAAAGCCTTGCAACTGGGTAAGATCTCCGAGGGAGTGAACATAGACAGAGAAGAGAAGAGGACCAAGGACTGAGACTCCATCATTAAGAGATAAGAAACAAAGGAGTCTGAGGCAGAGCAGCTAGGAGTGTGTCCTGGGGACCAGTAAGGAAAACAGTTCAAAGGGGGAGAGCTGGTGATCTGTGTCAAATGCTGCTGAGAGGTCAAGAAGATGAGAATCTTGCCCTAGCTAGTTTGGCTCAGTGGATAGAGCGTTGGCCTGCGGGTGGAAGGATCCCAGGTTCGATTCTGGTCAAGGGCACATACCTCAGTTGCAGGCTTCTCCCCGGCCTGGGCCATGGTCGGGGCGCATGCAGGAGGCAACCTGTTTCTGTCTTTCCCTCTTTCTTCCACTTTCTCTAAAAATCAATGGAAAAATATCCTTGGGTGAGGGTTAAAAATAAAAAAGAAGAAGATGAGAATCGAAAACTGAATTAGCAAAGTGGAGGGCGTTGTTGGGAAGGAAAGAGTTTAAGGAGAATGGTGGGAGCAAAAGCCTGATTGGAGTGGGGTTAAGAGAGAGTAGAGGATTTAAATACAGAAAGACAGAAAGGAAAAGGAAATCTCTTTTTAAGAGCAGAAAGTCACCTAAAATCTAGAAGAGTAAGAATTAGAAAATCACTGTTTGGCAGCCACCATAGTAATAATTGTTTCAGGGGAGATTCATTCATAGATGTTTCAATCAGTAGTAGATTAAACTTTGAGGAGAAACAGGATATTTGCATAGTCTTAGAGTTCTCACAAGATAGTTACTTTTTAAAAATTTTTTAACTTCCTTATTGTTTAAAGTATTACATAAGTCTCCCTTCCCCCCCCATTGTCCTCTCCCCAGCCACTCCCACGCCCCAGCACATGCTTTCACCCCCATACTATCTGTGTCCATTGGTTATGCTCATATGCATGCATTCAAGTCCTTTGGTTGATCTCTTACCCCCATCTCCTCGGTCTTCCCTCTTACGTTGGATGGTCTGTTCGATGCTTCTATGACTCTGGCTCTATTTTATGTTGTTCATTATATTCCACAAATGAGTGAGATCATGTGATATGTATCTTTCTCCAACTGGCCTATTTCACTTAGCATAATGCTCTCCAGGTCCATCCATGCTGTTGCAAATGGTAAGAGTTCCTTCTTTTATACAGCTGCATAGTATTCCACTGTGTAAATGTATCACTGATTTAAATCACTCATCTGCTGATAGGCGATTAGGCTGTTTCCAAATCTTAACTATTGTAAATTGTGCTGCTATGAAAGTAGGGGTGCATGTAGCCTTCCTGATTGGTGTTTCAGATTTCTTGGGATATTTTCGTAGAAGTGGGTTTGCTGGATCAAATGGGAATAACATTTTTGAGGAAATTCCATACTGTTTTTCACAGTGGCTGCACCAGTCTGCATTCCCACCAGCACTTGTCATTCTTGCCAGCACTTGTCATTTGTTGATTTGCTGATGATAGACATTCAGACAGGTGTGTGATGTATCTCATTGTCTTTTTGATCTGCATCTCTCAGATGATTAGTGACTTTGAGCATGTTTTCATATGTCTCTCGGCCTTCTGTATGTCCTCTTTTGTAAAGTGTCTATTTAGGTCCTTTGCCCATTTTTTGATTGGATTGTTTATCTTCCTTTTGTTAAGTTGCATGAGTTCCCTATAAATTTTGGAGATTAAACCCTTACCAGAGATATAATTGGCAAATATGTTCTCCCATGCAGTGGGCTTTCTTGTTGTTTGGTTGAAGGTTTCTTTTGCTGTGCAGAAGCTTTTTATTTTGAAGTAGTGCCATTGTTTATTTTATCCTTAGTTTCCAGGAAATGTATCAGTAAAGATATTGCTATGACATAGGTCTGATATTTTTTGCTGTCTATGGATTCTTCTAAGATTTTTATGGTTTTCTGTCTTAGGTTTAAGTCCTTTATCCATTTTGAGTTTATTTTGTTTGTAGTGTCAGTTGATGGTCTAGTTTCATTTTTTTGCACATATCTGTCCAATTTTCCCAGCACCATTTATTGAAGAGACTGTCTTGACTCCATTGCATGCTCTTGCCTCTTGTCAAATATTAATTGAGCATAGTGGTTTGGGTGATTTCTGGCTTCTCTATTCTATACCATTGGTCTATATGTTGTTTCTTGTGCCAATACCAAGCAGTTTTGAGAACAGTGGTTTTGTAATATTGCTTGATATCTGATATTGTGATCCCTCCAATTTTGTTCTTCTT